AAACATCTAAGCTTTTCTTCCTCTCTTTTCTTTCTTAAAAAAGAGAAAGAGAACAAAAGAGAGAATCGATTTTAGTAAGGTATGTACCTACTCGTACCTTTCTTATTCGCCCAAAAGAAGAACCTCTCTGTATATCTTCTAGATCTGCTAAGTTCTTGCTATCTTCTCGAAATGGTGAAATCGCTGATCGTCGTCGCTTTACGAACACCGACTCAACCGAACTTCGTAGAAGATCGCAAAAATCTTTGCGATTAGATATACCTGTTTCTCGCGTGCGAAGATGAAAGGAAGGAAACTCGGGGGGATCTTCTATGTGGTCGACCTTACCGACTACTTTGCTTCGGAGTCTTCGTCCAAGCCGCTCCAGTCTCTTGTGTCTTCCTTAAAAGAAAGAGAGTCGGCTCAGTAAGGTGTCCTATGTGGGTACCTTACTGACTGCCTTCAGAAGATCGCTTTGCGTCTTTTCCAGGCCGCTTACATGATGTTGCTGCTGGTGCTGAAGAGCAGCGCTCTGCTGCTCCTGCTGCAACTTGGCCTGCTTCTCCGCCTGCTGTTTCTTCATCATATCTTGTTCCTCGCGCTCGCGCCTGGCTTGCTCGTTGATCTCTTTGACCGCCCTCAACTCCTTTTTCAGCTTCATTCGCCGATTCTGGAACCAGATCTTAATCTGTCGTTCCGTAAGACAGAGCGCGTGCGCGATCTCTATTCGTCGTCGTCGCGTTAGGTAGTGATTGAAGTGAAATTCTTTCTCTAACTCCAATGTCTGGAATCGCGTGTACGTTTGCCGACCTCTACGCCTCGGACAACCATTCGGACCTGGAATTGTTAACATCTAATTTTTTAAATCCAATTTTTCAAACTCTCCCGTAGTTTCTCGAGACACCTCAAACGCATCTCTTCTTTACACAGCAAAATAAAATATAATATTAATATAAAACTAACTACTAAATGACATTTATATGTATTTTAAAATACGTGACTCTATGTATTCCATATTTCTGTAAAAGAAAGACGTAAAAATTCTGTGTTGCATTGTCGTGCATTCACATGTCAAATAATTGTGTAGCAAGTTTTAGTCATATGAAAAAAGTTCCTTTTATATTGGGAAGACCTATTTTAAGAGTAACAATAACCCTTTTTTTTGGTAACCCAGTATTCTCTTTCATGTTCGACATGAAGGTAACTTTCTATTCCATTACAAATCTTAACTCTGCTTTCCGCTTTCTTTCATAGAAAAAAAAACGTGCCGCCTCCTGTTTTATTGCGAGAGTTAAAAAAAAAGGGAAAAAAAGAAAGAATAAAAAGTTTCTGCAATGCTATCTGCTTCGTCAAACCCTTTCTAATGCTGTTTGACTCTCTCTTTGCAAGTCGAAGTCGTAAATATAGAAGTTATTTTTTTTTCTCACGTGTATCGACAAGAATAGAAATGATAAAAAAAAAAAAAAAAAAAATCACAGATGTAGATACAAGAAATGTATATCAGTATAAGAAAAAAAAGTTTGAAAGCTTCTCTAACAAAATTTTGGCTTACTATAATAAATTATAGCAAATGTAGATATCATTTGAGAGTTTCTCTAACAAAATTGTAACTTTCTATAATAAATTATAGTAAATTTAGATGAGGAACGATGTAATAAATATTATCTTATCGTATATACTATTATGAGATTTCAAGACGATAAAATCATCGAATATTAATTTATTAACGTTACTAAGCAGTCAAGGAAGTACATTCAAGTATGACAACTAAATTCAAATAAAACTCCCCCCTTTATACTATAATAATGACACCGCTAAATTCCGAACAACATATTTTCGTAATCAATTTGGAAGTAATTTTACTTTCAGTTGTCGCCATGGGTACAGGCGCGTCTCTTCTGGGGATCGCTAAGAAACCGGTTTCTTAGCGCAAAGACTGGACAGCCATAATACCATCATTTGCGGAGCGACGCTGAGTGGCCATATTATTGCCTCGTGATGAAGCAAATGTGTGCTACTGACCAATAAAAGATAGCAAGACTTTTCGATTCTACGTTATGTTATGAGAACACAATGATTACATTGACACGCCTAGAAGTGAAGAAGTCGGTCATATTAGAACTAGGAAAACACGTGTGCTTACAATTGCATATAGATTGGACGTGCATTAGCATTAACGTAAATCGTTTGGATGTGTGATAGCGCAGAAAAAAAACATTTGTATCTAATGATGTAAAGAGTAATTTTTTCTTCTTTGTATCACATATAAATTTTATCACATTACAATAAATTGTATCACATATAGATCTATCAGCAAATTCGCGTCAGAAAGCAATAAAAAGAAAGGAATGCTGGCCTTATAGTGAAATTGTTTTTGTCAAGATGAAAAAATTTATCGAATAAAAACGCGGTTTTGCAAAATAAAGTGGAGAAACGTACCGAATAAATAAACACTATTTTACAACATTTTCTATTTTTACATACACCTATTTCCATAAATAAATAATTCCCCAATATAATGATTTTCCTTGAAGACAGTTATCTCTCGCTTTTTGACTCGACTAACAAATAATCGCATAAATTTGCGTTAAATTTGACGGTGGTTGTACCTCGCACGATGAACAGTACGTCTCGAGGAATGTGATTGACAAAAAGGTATATATAGGCGTGCGTATTATCACATGACAGATTTAAGCGAAACAGCATGTTTTTTACCTTCTGTCATAACGATAGCCGTGCTATAGCGATCGCGCGCTCGAATGACACGCACGTGCGCAATTCCCTATGCAGGATGACCCATCAAATACGTATCGCTCCGAACCGAGCAGAAAACTCTTGGAGAATGCAGAGAATGCTGATATTGAATTCAGCATGGCCGTTCTCGCCAGTGCGGTCCAAACTCGCGTCGGTGTGTACGCGCCTGTGTACCTGAATCAGCGGCCACACTCACGAATTCCGCTTTTCGCGTACGTGTAGGACCCGGCTACAAATACGTGGTGGTGCGAATCAACACGGTTTTTAGCGCGCTCGTGTGCGTGCGTCGGTCGGCACACACACGTACGTCCGCTGCAGCCCACGGGGTGGTTACCGAAGCCCGACGGGAGGGACATACCACCCTTAGCACGGTTACCTTGGCAACCAGAGGGGAAACCATTCCATCCTCCTGGCGGCATATCACGCGAGAGAGCAAGCCTAGCAGCCAGAAAACTCTTGGTTGCATCCTCTCTCTGCCCGACCCTACGAGAGAGCCCCGACTTCACGTCGGTCTTGGAAGACGGGTGAACTTGATTGCGCCCACTCCATTCGCCATAAATATGGCCCCATCGGCGCGAAGTGCTGGCGCGAGCATTATCAATAATTTCGGCAGAGAGAACTAATGCCGGTGTGCTAGAATTTATTTGGCGCGAATAAAGTTCTCGAGACGCGGAGGCTTGTATGTGTGTGTGTGTGTGTGACGCCAATAACGTTGGAGATATTTGTATTTTATTTAAAAAAGAAAAAAAAACCATGAAAACTTTTTAAAATTTCTTATAAATGCAACACATCTCTAAAGAAAGCGTGTTCCACGCAATTAATAAAATTTCATTATTTTTTTCGCGGATAAAGACGTAACAAATTTAGGATTTCTTTTTTGCAGTGTGTTGAGTTCAATATTTAAAAGGCGCAAATTCATGCATGGGATATGAAAGATAGATAACGCATGTCTACGGAACACGCGAAGTGTTAATTAACGTTTTTGTCGTAAATAATTGAAGAGACAAATAAATTATGGTCAACCGCCGGAGGTCCATTGCCACCATCCTACAGAAGGGCGACACGATAGAACGCGCACACACAAGTACGCCATTATGGATGGCACAGGGTCTGTGTCTAACTACGGTCATATACTAAGTTTAATATCTGCTTTAGTATGCGGCTCGGGAATTGGGGATAATCGTGAATATTGTGAAAGTTCGTTAGGCTGTGTTTCCTAATCTGTGTGGTATTGCATACTACGCATCGAGATTCGATCAAACCACTTCAGTGCATGCCATTTTTCTCACGTGTGTTTAAAACATTTGATTATTTTACATTGAATAAATTTTTAACAAGACGTTTATAATGGGTTTGCAAAATATTTTGATAAACAACATATGATACGTGGCGTGATTCGTCGTTCGAGAAATGTGACTGAAAAGAACATTCGATAGATTTCGCGATAGCGACGCCGCGACGCCGCCTCCAACGCGGCATCCAGCTTTGACAGTACCTGCACATTGCGAATCTTTGCGTTTAGATATGTCGCATTACAGACTAACTTCTCTTTGTTCGACCGCCAGGAGAGACCACGCATGAGCCCCCTCAGCGATCCATTCATAAATATCTCAAAACGGCTTAATTTCGCGGCGCTGCGGGCAAATAAAATCTCGAGCCGGTGAAAAATGTAGACAGTTTGCCAGATGAAGGGGAACGGTGGGGAAGAAGAGGGGAGAAAGGGAACGAGAGGAGATACGACGTAGCCACGACCCACGACTCGCTTGATCGCCGTCTCGGGTCACTACAGCCTCTGCCAGAACGATAGAGTTGGAGGACCGGGTAGGAGAGCATGTTAAGGGAGGAGAGAGAGGGATAGTGGTGGAATGTGACTCTGAAAGAAACAGCAAAGAGAGAGAGAGAAAGAGATATGGAGAGTGGCAAGGAGGAAAAATGCTTACGATAACTCCGCTGTCCGTTCCATCGCGATTCCCAAGTCCGGGTACGATTTATACGGCTAATCCTCGCACTTTTCTTACCCACATCTCGACTCGTTGCCAGGTACACGGTTGAATTGTAATACAAGGCCGCTTGGCGATTATTCAGCCTCGCTAGATGTATAAATATACACCGTTGTTCTATGTGACGTTCATTAAACTTGTTTGCGCGCGCGTCCCTCTGATTTGTGAATTTCGTTGATGCTGCGTTTGTATATAAGTAGTTATCGGAAACATGTATCGTGCACAAAAATTCGACGACTGGAATCTGGACGATCGAGACTGCGAAAATCGCGTTTTGCAAAATATTATTACGCGCGGAGAATTCGCGGGGACTGTTATAATTTCTATCTCGTAACCGATAACGGGTGGTGAGAGACCGAGTTTTTCTCCGCAGCATGCTACGTAGAGGATATAGAAAAAGGTTCTATTCTCGATACGGTTTACTTACAACGGCCCCACTACCTACGTATCTGATACCACTGCGGGAAATGCGTTATGTAAATTTTATGCAGGTTGCTGTTCGCAGGTAATTATTGTAAGCGGTACACGAAAGGAGTCGAGATTAAATCTACTTCTAATTTGAAATAAAACTTTAAAGCTAATTTAAATAAAATGTACGATATATCGCGCGGTACTAATTATGATTATAGATAATTTTACTACTGTCACGTTTTCTAATGATACCAGAATATATCAATGGCACATTATCTTTTCTCTCCTGAAACGATAATTTTTATAATTAATATAGCGTAAAAAAAGTTACACATACGGGTATTTAATCTGACTAAATTAGCCAATCATTAAGGAATATTCTGCATCATAAATCTCGTCAGTAAATTATCCCAACATCTTATTTTTATTTTTTGTTTTTTTTTTTTTTTTTTGTAGCGAGCGTTGGGAAAGAGAAATCAAAGAGATATCGTCGATTTTGTTGCGAAAGAGAGACTTCAAAATTTGTTGAAGAAACTATCATTTATATCTCACAAGTAAGTATTATTTTGTGAAATTTTAAAATCCAGCAAATGTGTGTGATGTAATGACATTATTGTTTTTCAACTGTATATATCGCTTGGCGAGAAGAACCAAAGTCGTGCACATGGAGAC